CTGACGTTCTGTTTTGTCCATTTTTTCGTGTTTTACATTTTTAGAGTCTGGCGTCCTATGCTAAGCGTTCCACGCTATCTACCGCGCACAGCGGTCTTCTAGGTCACTTTGCTCGCACCGGTTGGATCTCATTCAACCGGTCTTCTTAAGATAAACTTGTGCAGCGCGTCTTACATGAACGACATTGGCGAGTTGGGCTACGACTCGCTATTCGAGCGGTCACGTACGACCGCGGACGTACGCGCTGGGGCCGTTGATATAGGCTAGGGTATGATAGTATATATACATTAGTGCATTATTATTTAAGAATATCATATAGGGTTTAGGGTATATATATATTTTATTTTATCTATTATTTATTATAAGTTATGAATTTATGTAGTGGTGGTGCTGGTTTTATGTTTTTTGTTTTTTGTTGAGGTTTTTATTTTTAGAGTGGGCGTTACGGGTTTCCAGTTGGTTAGTAATTTATGTATACTAGGTTATAATAGTGAAGCTTTATTACATTTATATATATAATATATCTCTTCTAGTGTACGCTTGGTGTTCTATATTATTGCTGATTTATTTATTATTGTTCTTATATATTTTTTTAACTTGTATGTATTTGGTACTATATCATATAATATACAGACCGGCTGATCACGGCACGTGTTGGCCGTTATGGTACGTTTGTAATTGCTTGTGTGGGCTTAGAGTAGGGTTAGGTTAGGGTAGGGCTGTTTAGTTGGTTGGTGAGTTGTATGTGGACTTTTATCTATTATTATACCTAACCGGGTCCTATTATATATATATAATACTCTATACCGTAATAATATATATGATGATATTATATATATATATAGGTAGGGTAATAATATATAGAGGATTAGGGTTATATATATATATACCCTCCAACCCTAACCCCTACTCTGTTCCTGTATCAGCTATATTCTCTGTACCTAACTGTTTCCTAACGTGGCTGTGGGGTTGTCCGGGTTTGTGGCGTGTGTGGTGTTTTTGGCGTTTTTTTTGTTTGTTGTGTGGTGGGGTTTTTGTGTTTGATGGTGGGTGGGGGTGGTAATCGCGCGTGGCGCGTGCGAGTGTCAGAGGTTGCGGTTTCGGTGTCAACTTTGGGTGGTGAGCATGGGGGTGTTGGCGTTTTGCTGGTGCGCCGTTGGCTGTGTGGTGGTCGATATGTGTGTATGTCGGGTGTGTACACTGTTAGTTGATGGGGTAGTGTGGTATGGTTGGTGTGTGGTGTTGGGTGTTTGTGGTGTAGGCGGGTTAGATTTTGGCTGTGTGGGGGTTGGCGCGTTGGGGGGTGTTTTGTTCGCGGGCTTTGCGCGGTTGGCGGGGGTGAACCACGCATAGTGGCGTAATCGTAATAATTGCTCCATACCCGACCGTGCCGTGTAAAGTAAATAAATTAACCAATTAGAACAGATACATAATAAATAAACTAAAAAAAAATATCAATTTAAATAATAAAATAAAATAAAAATTATCATGGAATAAATTAAATAAATCAATAAATAAAGTACAATAGAGATTATAAATAAATTATAATTTTAAAAGTAAATAAAGTTGAAATAAAGTAAGAGCTTATAGAGGATGAAGATAATCTCAGATATGAAATGGTAAGTAATCAAGATATGCATACCGTTTCCCCGCACACCGGTCAGCAGTCCGAGGGAAACTATTCCTAGCGCAAAGTTTTCAACCGTTGTTAGAGGGAGTCTTTACCTAGACATGGTTTCCCTTGAGTTGACGTCATTTGGTGGGCTCTGAGGCTAGGAGAGACGGATGCATGTTGTTCGAGTCTTAGGTGGACGTTTTACGACTGTTGCGATTTTTACTTTTAAACGGCTGTCCGCTGTAGCGCCAGCGACATGCGCGCTAATCTCTCTCACGTGGTTGTGTGCGATTGTATACTCGTGTGTCTAGGTCCCTGACCGGCAACCGATTATGTTGCTCGTCGCCCTACTAGTTGTCCCGACTAAAATAAGGAGTATATTACATTAGTTGGGTATGTGGTGTTGTGTGTGCGTGTGCGTTGTTCGGTGGTGCGTGTGGTGTTGGCGTGTGGTCGCATGTTCGGCGCATGGTGTGCCGTGTGTGCCTACGGTTGCTGGTGTACGCCGTAGCTGCTTGTGCCGTGTGGGCGAGTTCTTTGTGTGTGTTGTGCATCGGCTGTTCGGGCGGCGTGTGGCGTTTTTTTGATGTTCTGTCCTGGTGACTGTTGTGGTGGTGTGTGTGCGGGTGTGTGTGGTGTCTTCTATTTGTGTGTGCGTTGTGTTGTGTGCTGGTGCGTGAGTGTAGTGGTGTGTGTGCTTTTTGTGGACTGTAGTGCCGCAGGTGGTGTGCGTGTGTTTTGCGATGTTGCTGTGTGTTGCGCGCAGCGCTATGGGCTTGTGTGTGTTCCTGGCTCTGTTGTGTGTACTGGTGTCCTGGGTTTGCTCGGTGTTGTTCGTGTTGTGTGTTTGTTGTGTTGTGTGTGTGTCGTGGTCGGTGTGCTGTATGTGTGTATCGATGTAGTGGTGATAGTAGTGAGAATATGCGATTATATTATAAGCCGGTGAGGGCGGTGATGTAATTTACGCTTTCCAAGTCGGACTATATAATGCCACCACCGAATGTCAATGTGGATGTCGTGCATTTGTGCGTTTTGTAAATAATGATACTATTTTAACTGTGTGAGTTATTTTTATGATAAACGGTATTTGTGCCACTGGTTTGTCATCTTTTCCGTTTCGATGTTTATTTACCTAGTCGTCTGTGTGTAGTTTTGCAAGGGGGTTGTTTCATTCTCTCAACCCAAAAATAGCGGTTTCTGTGTGGTCCTGTAAGTAACGTCTTCAGTTTATTTGTACCCGCGTATATTTATGTCAGTGATACATAGTAGTTCTAGTGTATTAGGTTGATTAGTCACGTTAGTCCCATTTTTCTTTTGCGTTGTATGAGTAGCCAACTTAAGGTGTTTCTTAGGTTTCTCTTAAACTGTGTGTAAGTATTACATCAGTTGCGTGAAAAGTAATTAGGCATTGTGGGTGCGTGTTACTATAATAGTAAGATTCTTCTGAAGTCGATTTTGCGCAGCTGATTTTGACCTTATGGTTCCTATTATTACGGTTGTGGTTAACGACTTATTTTTCCTTAGGCTAAGTGCCGAAATGTGGTTCATTGCAGTTGTAGAGTGTGTGCGTTCGTCTTGTTTATTTTCTTGTATATCGCGTGAGTGGGACGATAACTAAATAATAACAACAACTAATCGTAAGGTCTTAAATATGAGCTTTTTTAAAGCCTTTTGTGTAAAGGCAGTCATAGAGCACGCATGGATCCGGGAGGGGCCTATCAATTAAAAGATGATGTAACATCGCGACTGTTTAGTGCACGCGTGGTTTTGGGCTCGTTCTAAAATTCGTTCACGTGACTGCTTTCATTTATTG